TGTTTGGCCGGTTCACACACCTCACAATGAAGGTCATTGTGAAAATTACAACAAGTCTTATCCCACTTGGTGGGATCGACTACATGGATTATATAATGCCATTGTACTCTATTATTTATTAAGCTTTTAAAAATATTGTTAATTAAAACATTTCACACAACAACCTCCAAAAATGTTTTTTTTGGTCTTCCTCTATCCTTCTTAACAAAGTTCAAAGTCATCTGTTCCACTCTCCTCACAAGTGCCTCCCATGGTCTTCTTTGTACATGTCCGAACCACTTCAAATAATTTTATACCATTTTTTCTTCAATGGGTGCCACACCTAATATTTCTCGTATTCACTTATTTTGAATTTTGTCTTTACATGTATATCCACACATCCATATCAACATTCTCATTATGAAAATTACAATGATGAAAATTAGAGTTAGGAACAATCGTTGAAGGTGATGAAAATTAAGATGACCTATCCTCTTATGCCATAATATAAAATCATTAACTTTAAATATAGATGCAGAGTTACCAACAATTGAGAAGTTAACCACTCTAGTGATGGCTTCGAAATAGTAGAGCCCCTCATACTTCTTAGCACTTTCGATTGTCACTCTAGATGATAGATCTTGAAACAAACAATGAGATGGGAGGAACTTAGCATAACAATTTGACTGGGTAGTCAACTGATTGATTGAAAATAAGTTGCAATCAAGTTTAGGCAAATGAAGGACAGATGCCAACAGTATAGAATCAAAAATTCAAATATTCCCTTTTTCTGCTACAGGTGCTAAGAAGCCATTTGCAAACTTGACTTTAACATCTCCAACACATGGAGTGTAAGTAGTAAACAACTCATGACAATAAGTCATATGGTCGGAGGCTCCAAAATTAACAATATAAATTATAGCATTGCGAGATGTCTTTAAGGCCTAAAGAAACGTTTCTCTTTTGGCAATTGTTGCTTTAAGCCCATATTTTGCCACTGACACTATGGTCCTTGATAGGACTAACTCCAATATAATCAAAGAAAGAGATTACTGGTAGATATAAAGGAGGAAATTCAACGGTATCCTCTATCACTAACGGAAAATGTAGAGAATATAGCTATAAATCAGCTACTCATCAACAAGAACAGGAAACTTGTAAAACATGCAACATGAAAGAAATCACACTCCCCTTGGTTTTCGAGAGACTAGGACCTCTCCACTACATTGATACTATTGCCTACCTGCCTCTCTTTCCCCGCCCCCTTTCTTTTACATCCTTCCACGACCTAACAATGTCAGGTATTGTTGCTTGTTGTGTCTTTCCCATTCTGCCCTTTCTCACTCTACTCTTGGGTCTTTCCTTTGGGCTTCCTTGTATAAACTTGACCCTATATGTTAATGGGCCCAACAATCCCATACCTAGTCACCTTCATTAGAATACTTAGGAGAGTCCAAACAACTACTCCTAATACTCCTAAGGCTTCCCCTGAGATGAAACCTATATAGCAAAGAAGAATCAGTAGTCACATCCTAAAAGCACTCCAAACTCCTTCAAATAGACCCCTAAACACACTGTAGGGATAAAAAGATGTCAAGGAAAGAGCACCTAGTCGTGGATGAGGCCTAAATCTTGCCAAAAAAGGGTCTGCGTTGCTAGAAAGGGGAGTCGCAGCCAGGATAGTGGTTGCACTCACTCCCACATGTTGCTAGGCAAGCATTGATGTGAAACCTTCGGGTAGCACCTGTAGGCCACATGCACCGACGATCACCATGTCCTTCGAGGGTTGCACCAATCGGAACTGTGCAAACACACCTAGGGGGCGGTGAGAGCCACAACAGTCTTGAACAACACTTACATCACAGCCCTAAGATGCTGTACAAAATACCTTACACGGTTCATAACCCTAATGACAATTTTAGATCATTTGCTTTGATACCATGTGAAATTTGAGAGAAAATAATATTTCTCATTAATTTGAATACTAAGTACAAGATAACTATATATACACAAAGGGAAATAAAACCTAATAATTACTAATAACGGCTAATAAAATCCAATAAAGACTATACAATATTTACATAAATATCAAATATTCCCACACTAAGTATAATAGGATGCATAGTCTTTATTTAAGTATAGTACATTGTATGTCTATCTTCAAGAGTAAGAATTGACACAAGGTTGCAAGATTTGGTATGAAGGTCAAATACTGAGCTATTCTATGGCTTTAGCCATGTGAAGTTGAATGTCAAAACAGTTGCCTATAGAACACCCAAAGTAAAAAAGGCATGAGTGTCCTTGTGTTACTATAGTACAACATGAATAAAAATCAAGAAGTCAGTGTCATATATATGTGTGCGTGTGTGTACAGTAACTCAATCATTAAATAACACTATTTTCTTTGGTCTCCATTCCTTCTCCCCAACCTTTTCCTTCCTTATTTTTTGAGCCAAACCATTGAACAATAAACTTCTATTGCATATTTAAACATTAGTCTAGGCTTAAATTGGCAATAGAGAATCCCAATTCCCAAACATTGGCTTCGTACATCTTCTTTGCCACATTATTGAGCACCCCATATAAAAGGGATGGAATATCTTGATAGAAGGCTAGAACTTGTGAAACTAAAACTTATGCATAAACATAACAAGCTTAATAACAATTTTACCTTAAACTTTAGGTTTAGGAGAGTCTAGAATCTTAAACTTCTTTTTGATGCAATGTTCCCCTTCAACATTTGAAAACGGTGTAATGTTGCCTCTATCGTTAGCCAATGTTAACTTTGATCATTAGTTGGCAAAAACAAAATTGCAAATAAGTACAAGTGTTGGTATTAATATTTAAACTACTAAATATTAAAGTATTAATATTCTAATAAAATATTATTAAAGCAAATATATTATTTTTAATTGCTTACCGGTATTGATATCAAAATGGTGATCCGATGATCACCTAGGAACTAGTTAAAGTACTTGGTCAAAATTAAATTTTAGTCTTTTACATGTAAATGAAATAACATTTGTCTCTTGGTATTTGTTTAAAATTCAAAGAACTTAATCAATATTAATTTTTTTTATCCAACAATTACTTGTAATTTTTAGAGTTATCTTCTATAATTTTTTTAGTCTATTTTTTTTTTTAGTCAACTAACTATCGAAATTAACCTTTGGTACGGCCAATGTTGTACTGTTCTCAAATGTCGAGGGGAATATTGCATCACAAACAAGTTTTAGGTCCCAAACAAACATTCATGGGTCTAGAGTTTAAGGGCAAAATTGCCCTTTAACCCCTTGTAAAAATAATAAAATTTCTTCGAATGATAAAAACTATAGGTACTAAATTTCGACTTTCCCCTTCTGCAAATCCATGGCATCATTGGAAAGAAACAATCTTGTATAGTTGCAATTTTCTATCTCCTTGAGTTTGTTAATTTTACACGAGTATATTGGGCCATTCACCAAGGTATGAGGTATCATCACAGAAAGTGCATAAGATGCAAAAGTCATAGGCCAGTAAGGGCAAAAAGTGAAATAGAGAAAAATAGAATAAGATAAAAAAGAAGAGTACCTTTCAAACTTGAAGGAATCATTGTTCATTTGTTAGGTTTCTACCACTTTTTCTCATCCAAACATGGTTCACCTAGTCTGTCACAGATGCACAACTCTTTCATGCAAGGTACATCTGACTTCATTCCACATAGGGTCCTAAAGCAACCAACACTTAGTCTAGTATCACCAGTGCCCATCTATGCAATTGATTGAAGTAACAATTCTAAGACCAGCTAATGATCAAATCAACCTAGAGTGTAACCTTAAGGACAGAGCACCCAATGCCAAGTAGTAATTGGACTCTACTAGCCAGCCAGGTGCTTTGTAAAATGATTCACGAATTATACCCTTGTGAGTCTCTGCACCAAAACTTAGAAGTTAAGCGCACTCAAGCAATCAATAACACAAGCCCATTGCTGTAAAGAAAACAGTGAATCAGACGCCTAGACAACAGTTTCCTTGCACTTCCTATAAGTTCTTGAGCTCAAAGAGTTTGATGGGGTCAAACCCCCCTAGAGGTTGACTAGTGTTGACATGAGAAAAGCCACCCAAGTAAGTCTCAACTTTGACAAGAAATAATACCCTCAAGGTGAGTTTTACACACACCTTTGTTCCCAATAACACCCAGCATTGACAAAGTTAGAAGCTCTACGAAGGCCCTCCTTTACACAGGGAACTAATTTTGGGATTGGCCTGGGAGGATTAAAGTGTAAGAACCTCCATATGTCAGAGCAAGGAAGGGTTTTAAGTTGTATCTTTTATGGGATCCTATTTTTTGAGGTTACTTTATCTGTTTTAGGGTTTCATCATATCATGTACTGCTAGTGTTCTGGAACAACCCTACAATGTCTTGTTACAATTAAACAATGAATTTAAAAGTTACTGTACCAAAACTTTTGAGGAGATCTTCCTTCTCAATCTTCACCTATCACATGTCCACCTTAGGCTGTTATAGATATTGGTATAACTAACTCCTAAGACTCAGAACAAGGAGTACTCAGAGACTCTTTCAATCTCTCTGGCCCTCAACCACACTATCACTTCGGAGAAACCCATTCTTAAATCTTGGGAATGGCCACCATCCTTAACTATCGAGAATCTCCAACATTTTAGTTGTTGCGATTTGATGCACCTCCAAAAAGTAGATTAAGGTAATGTAACCCTCCTTTCCTAGAGGTTTTAACTGTTTCCCTGGCCCTCTACTCCTTGAACTACCCATCTACATAACAAGCTTACGTCATTCAGAGTCTTAGTGTGCCAAACAAAGCTTAAAATTATGCTCTAAGGAAAATTTCAAATTTCAGATATTTGAATTTTCTTAGCACAACACATTAATACCACATAAGAACATTGAACATTTGAAAATTAACCCAACAGTGAATAGAGAATATTCACGGTAATCAAAAGTTGCCAATCAGACAAAGTGTTGAATATTAAATGAATGCTCCAAGCTCAGCATTAGTTCTATACCTCTTTTGAGAACAATCCTCCAACAGCAGATAATCCTAAAAGAACATCAGGCTTCACTTGCTTTACCTGGATACCAAAATTTAGCCACAGTGCATGCAAAAAAGCAGTTACATGATTAAACAATAAAATATAAATTAAAATATAATGGCATAACCATACAATCCAGCGCATGGAAGCAACAAAACATTGGTTCTTATATTTTTAAGAAACAGACGCCACAAGATAACCCAAGGCAGTAGCTGTCCAATGTTTTCATTAAAATGTGATATTTCACAGATGCAATAAAAAGTTCCATCTGATTAACAAGTGTGAGACAGACAAGTTTTAGGGGGAAAAAAAAAAGTGCTACGAACTCATGGGTTGGGCTTGTCCTCATTGTAACAGCCTCATACATGATCCAATTTATAATTACAAAGAGATACGAGGAACTTGCATATTCAATTGGGTTCTGTTGTTGGCCAAAAAGGAAAAAAGGGGTGCTGTTTATTACAAGCAGAACTTGTTCTAACTTTCTTCAAAAGGAGGAGCGTTGGTACATGACAGTTACGTTAAAAGAAGTATATTCATGTATAATGATCTTCACCTGTACTAATTATACAGTTTTTGTATAAAATAAGTATACTTATGTACAATGATCTTCAGCTGTACTAATTATACAGCTCTTATATTTGACTTAATTTATATTTATCATTGTAAATAGACACAGGATGTTTTCTAAATCATGTCAATAAACCCATTCATTGTCACCATTAATGAACAAGAAATGATGACAAAAATATGGTCAATGAAGAAAATCACGTTATGACAGGAAGAGAAAAAAGTAACCAGTTCTGTTTCATGTAAATTTTTGCCATAATCATTCCTCATATGCTATCTTCTTTTAATGAATTACTAGGCTTCTTAGTTACTCTTCTTCTAGGTACAATGTGAATATAATAGATTCTTTGCAGGTTGTTGAATCTTCGCTCATTAATGATAAAACACATATAATATAATACATCTAGCTTATCTGTTAACATCCACAAAATATCATGACAGAAATTCATGTAATATTGATTGAATTTTTCTTTTGTTTTTTTTTTCTGGTTTCAAACTGAACCCATATTTTTAATTAAGTTTTATAACTACTTCTACATATACATACTTTTTACAAAACTTCAAATGTAAATTGTATTTTGATATTTCATCAGGCATGCTAAAATGAGGTTTTATTTTACAAACCACTTCCACAAGGCTTGCACCTTCCCTCAGTCCTTGACGACCAGCTTCTCTCACATTTCTTGCAAAAGGGAGGGCCTCTGGATCAATATTTTCACGTTCTTCTGTAATTAAACCCTACATTTACGAAAACAGGCAATAGTTTTATATGAGTGCTTGATGGATCACGCTCAAAAGAATGTAAGATAATATAAATGAAGTATCTCAGACAATCATATTATAGTATAAACAGTAAATCTGACTTGTTAAACAATTAGGCTGAAGCAAAAGGCCATGTCATAAACAAAATTATGGAAATGAAAAATCACAATCACTGTGATTAATATTTGTTAAAAATAAGTACTAATTTATTTATATGATAAGTATGGCCTAGCATTGGATTTCATAATTAGTATATTGAACTTATTGTAAAGCGGTGCAAAATTTCATATTAGTTAGATTCTGAATTCTTATTTCATGCAAGGAGATTATTCCTTGACTAAACAGGTATTTGGCATCGAATCTCCCCAAATCAACAGCAACAATACCAACTATAACCTAAAAAAATGGAGAAATACAATAAGATAATAAAAGCAGAAAATCAAGATATAATGGGAATAAACACAGGATTCCAACACTTGCCCCCAAGCTAGACTGTAAATATTCAACAAAGCCAGAATGTATTCAAGCCGTGAAATTTAGTTAAGATGCCATCTACTCTGTCCTGATAAGATGCACAAAATGTTTTGCAATATTAATGGTGGCTACATTGCCACAAAAAATTTCGTAGGTCCTTCTATAGTGACTCTAAGTTCTCCAGGAAGTCTTTTCGATCAGATTCCTCCAATAACACTTTGTTGAAAGGCTCCATGCCACTTTAGCATCGCTCCTGGCGACAACATATTGTTTTAATACTTCTCTAAATTACAAGATTTACCCACACAAATAAGCTATAACCTGAGGTAGATTGCTTCTTTGTAACTGAACTGACCCAATCTGCATATGGGCAAGCCTCAGGACCGTTTTTTGTTCCCTTCCTGAAATAGATACTGCTGAGAATCAAACTTCAAGATTCGGAACCAGGTTTCCCTATGCTAGAAATGAGACTCTTGTCATGATAAATTTTTTGAGCTTTCACATAGAAACAGCGTATTGCAGCCATGAAAACAGTTAAAGAAAACACAGAAAATAAGAATAGCGAAGAGTGACATGAAGAAAGAGAAAAGAGGAAGAAATAGATAAAGCAAAATGGAAAACTACTCTTCACTGACTCATCAAGGTGCGTACAGCAGAGCATATCCATATAGGACCCCTCATAATGTACATCATGAAACATAGCGTTCAAGAAACCAAGCACTATCCTCACCAGAAACCAAAACCTTCCTTAAACCCTAATTCCAATCCACTAACTCATATTTTCCCCACCCTAGCCTAGCCTCTCCACCTCAGGTCCCATGTGATGGTTGCCTAGTGCAAGCCTTGGCCCAAAAATTATTGGCCAATTAGATACCCTTGTCAAGGGTCATTTTCAAATATCTAATAATGCTATACACAGCAATCTCTTGATCAAGTTCTGCAAAAGTTTTCACCAACATGACAATCAATCTCTTGCTTGTTTAGGGACAAAATATTAACCATTGCTAGTTTATGGCCCGTTAACTCCATTAGTTGAGGACTCTGAAACCATTCAAAACATTCACATTGTAATGACCCTAAATTTTAAATTAAATAACTTTCTCCTAATTGATATTTTATTAATTTATTTTAGTTTTATGACTAATAGGAGTATTAGCCTAGTAGACTCTATACTAGACCTGAAGGTTCAAAGTTGAAATTTTACTTAATCCAAAGATTAATTTTATTTTGTTTTATATGGGGAGATTACTAAAGTTCCCTTGTTTCTTTTTATAAAAAAATAAATAAATAAAATATTATAATAACAATAAAAATCTGATGGGGTCATTACTTGTAATTCTTCTAAGAAGTTTTATATTTTATTCTCTTTCTTCCTCATTTTTCATTCAGACACAGAGTAGAGAGATAGCGAGAGAGAGCGTCGTTCTTCTGTTTCCTTCTCCTCTTCCCTGTCACACCACCTTTCTGTTCCTTAGGGTTGATCTTCTTTGCTCACCGTCAACTATGTCTTTTCCTCACCATCACATCTCGCTGTCGCTGGGAGTGTTACTGTCGCCAGATCCTCTCCTTGCCACCACCCCTAATTCGTCCTAATCTTCTCTGCTGTATCGTTAGTGTGCGCACACTTTAATTTCCTTTCCTCTTCAGCCATAAGACGCGCCTATGTGTGTATGATAAGCTTAGTTTCTTTCTTTTGCTAGCCAATGATTTCTGATGTTCTTCCCTCTCGTTTGTGTGGCACATTGAAGCTTTTCCTCTCCTTCTTGGCGCCAACCATATGCTGATTATAACTGTCACTACTGCACTTTGGGTTAAGGTAAGTTGTCGATACTTCCTTCTCCTTCTTTGATTTCAACAGTTGCACCAAATCATTTTCTCTTCCTCTCCTAGCCGAAAGATGTGTCCTTGCTCTTCATTGTTGCTGTCATGATTTTGAGGAAATTGAGGTGTTGTTTGATTTATGCTGGATGTTACTTCATTTTAGTGTTGAGCTAAATCTTGGTTGTAAAATTAAACATTTGAAGAAGTTGGAAGCTTGGATGCTGGGTTCATAATTTAGTTAATTGTGAATGTTCTTATAATGCTCGTAGGAATGCTTAAAGGAGGAAATTGATGGGAATAAGATTTCTAATCTTCATACTAGAGCCTAAAGGAATTATATACGCTATTTGAGGAAGTATATGTCTTCATATGAATTGTGAAGTTAATCTACCTATTGGAATTGTACATCACTTAAAGGGAAATTGTTAAACTAAATAATAATCAAGATTTTGCTGAGCCTGGATTAAGAGCTGTGTTAATGATTAAGGTTGAATGCTTCCAAGTGTTGTTGATTGCTTGATAGAATTTATTGGAGGATTTAGTAAGAGTTTAAGGGGTTAATGAGAACTTTAAAGAATTATTGAAGAGTTTGAATATTAGTTCACTTGCTTATATTAAGGAAAATCATAATGTAAGCATGAAATTGAAGGAGTCTAACTATAAGATTATTGAAAACCCTCAGGTGAGTAGGTAGCATTCCAAATAAATTTTTAGCAAAATGTTTATAAAATTTCTTTATTTAAATCTTAATAATATTCTTTTATAGGCGGTATAAATATTCTTGCAAATTCTATTTTTACAATAATTGACCTATAAATGATGATTTCTTGATTTTGCCCATGATTTATGTTATTGCCACAGTAATGATTGAAGTTGATATATGGCAAATAATATTATGTCTCAAAAATAACTCTCTTAATAAATTCTATGTTTGATATGAAAATTTTTAATATGATAATTCATGCATGGAGGGAAAAGAAGATGAACATAAGAAATGGAAAGTGATTATTGAACAGCTTATTTGAAAATAGAAAGTTTTGAAATTTTTATTCTTGCTCCATGCACGGTTGATTTTTAATTAGGGAAATTGAATTCAAAACGCTGGATGCTAACGACAGTTTTGTTAGCCCTTGACGTGCCATGATACACTTAACTAGTAGGATGCATTGTAAATGCTAGCCCCGTGTGCCGACCAATATATCTGGAATGGAGGATGTAATTTCGTGGATATAATTCATGCCCGTGATTCATGAGTTTTATGCTTGCGCCTGTTTTTCCTGGCTTCTTGTCACATCGGATATGTTACTTACCCTCGTGGACTGTGTCCACGCCTGTTATTCGTTATGATAAAATCCTCCGAGATCGTACTTAAAAGTTATTGTTTCTATACTAATTTCTTTGAAGGCATTTTTTTTTAAACTGCACCATTGCTCAAAATTTTATATATATTATAAATTTTTTTTAACAAATTTATTTGGTTCTAATATTGTTGGTGGTCCCATGATTATACCATTAAGAAAACTCATCATTTATTGTTAATTAAGGCAAGTGTTTCATTATTTCCTTGATTTGTTTAAATTAAATTATTAGTTACTATTTTCACATTTTTATTTATTTATTTATAATTTATAAACTTGATTGGAACGCTACTCATCGAAAATTTCTTTGGTCTCAAATATTGTAGCTAACCCTGCACCTTTTGCTAATAATTGAGGTAGTATTGCTTTTTGGATAGTAGGAGCAATCTTCGACAATTCATTTTGATGTAACTATATATTATATTAAAATTATAAATTCAGCACTCCACATATATCGTAGTTAGGTCTTAGTTTTATTTTGTTGTTGTGAAATATAATGGTGTGGAGCTAAGCTCCTTTCTAGTTTGACTAACAGGTTTTATTGCTGTAGAAATTTTGGAAGGTCCTAATTATAGGGAAGATTCTGTCGAAATTTCTACAGAATGTTAAAAGTTAATTCCTTAAGACAAACTTAAAAAATAATAACAATAATAATAATAATAATAACTATGATATAACTAAAGAGAACTTCTAACTGAATAAAATTCTGCTCTAACAATCCCCTCCTCACAATTCACTATATCTTATCAAGAACTTTAATCGCCATAAAAGATTTCCTTACCAAATATATATATATATATATATATCAAAGAATATCCCCTTTCAATCCCACCTTTTATGCACAAAAATAGCAGTAGCAGCAACAATAAGACTTACCTCACTAATTGAGGTGAGCCATGTCCATAACACAATACCAGTATGCTCTAACAACAACCAACTCTTAAATATATCATTCATTAATAGATTCCATTCAATAACTTTCTTAAGCATCCTTCTTCGCTTTCTCTATCTCTATTCATAAAGATAAAGACTATCTACCAACCCTCTTCATTGGTGTTACCATTGGTCTTTTTTGCATGTCTTAAGCACCTTAAACAATATCCAACCATTCTCTTCTTAACTGATGCCAAAACAACTTTTTTCTCATATAAAATCATTACGGATCTTATCTTTTCATGTATTGCTACAGGTCCATTTGAACATCATCATTTGCGCTACACCAAGTTTTTGCTTTTGTAACCCCTTCAACGCCAACATTCATTATTATATAACATAATAGGTCTTATAACACTTTGATAAAATTTCACTTCAAACTTAATAGGT